CACCAATACTAGTTGATGTGACAGATCAATTGCAACTTGCCTGATAGTATTTTTGTTATTATGATAAGCATTCTCAATGACACTGTTTCAGTAGGCTTACACTGAATGGTTTACTGTCCACAGATGATTTTAACATACCTGCAAACTGGTTGCTTTTCAGCAAAACTATGAATCATCTAGATCTGACGATTTATTTGGAGGTGGTGGGGTGGAAGTGTTGGATCAGAGACATGGGAAATGACACATTTCCCATCGACTAAATTTTCAGAAACAAGGTTGCCCTCATCAGAAAAGATCTTTGGTAGAGCACAATTCATTTGGCCAATCACAATCAAGACAGATGACAGCCACATCATTCCCATAGACAGGTTTGGTCCATGTTAACTGGTCACTTCTAATGTTAGATTGTACTCAGTAAATATCATGACAAATAACCCATGGCTGCTTCTCTTTTTTGTCTTTTTCTGCATTTTTAGTGCTTCCTGCTGAAGTGAAAATATAAGTAATTGATTTGATTTGATTTATTTCTTTAACAGGAAAAGATTATTAAAAATCAAGCCTGACTCAGCATAATTGCTGTTTTACAGTAGGTTCCTGTTCTGCAGCACATAAAGCACTCAGAATTACAGCATCACAATCACATCATTATACACCATAGACACAAAGACAAACAAGCATACCAAATTTCAAAAAGCAGCATTTGCAAAATCGGACATCTAAATATGAGCACAACAAAAAGTGTCCAGCAGATGGCAGACAAGATTCTTCTTAAAGAGCTGTAGTTTTGAAATGGACTTTATGTTTTGAGGAATGTCATTCCATGCTTTAGTATAAACATAGAAGAAAGACCTCTGGCCGTAACAGTTTTTAAAAGTTGGTAATATTAGTTGTTCTTTTGTAACAGATCTAGTTGAATGAYCACTTCCAGAATTTGATTTGGGCAGCAATGCACAGAGAGTTCCATAATTGGCACCTTGGAAGATCGGAAAATATAAATTAATACCACTATACAAAACATAATTCTGAAAAGTCAAGGCATCAGACAATGAAAGAACTGTACAGTGATGAGTCCATCCAGGAAGTTTTTTTTATGAATTTTGTAGACCCTGTTGTAGAGCCTAACTATGGGTTCTAAGATTTCATTTGTTGTAAGAGACCAAACAGGTAAACAGTACGACATGGTTGAGAGTATAATGGCATGAAGATACAGTATTTGAAACAGAAGATGTCAGATTGGATCTAATTTTTGAATAAACGTATAATTTCTGTTTCAACTTAGTGATTAAGACTTGTACATGATCACGATAAGTCAAATGAGAATCCAAAGTAATTCCAAGATATTTGTAGGTAGTGACAATACCAAGGGGTTTGTTTAAAAAAGTGAGTTGATTTGTTATATTGAAATGTCTCCTGGGTGAGGAAAAATACATGCACACAGTTTTTTTTAACATTAATTGACAAAAGATTATCTTGAAGCCAACCATGAAATGTCTGAAGATCTGCTTGTAATCATTGCAAATCATTGTGAAATGTCTTGACAGAAGCACAACTCACTGATTTTCATGTTGGGTTAGGATCACTGGAGTCTGGGGGGTGGTATTTGTAGGGTGGACTAACAGAGAAATATTTTTGAAACAGCAAACACAGAAAGCAGAAAAGACATTTGTTAGATATATGTGCATTTAGACAGTTCTTTTGCTGAAACCAGGTCACAGAAAAACATTGGTTTTGTTACTTTTCCTTTTGCTGGATTTAAATACATTTTGGTCCAACACCGCCTAACCTCTTCACTCCCCATTTTTCCTCCAAATACATGAAGGATAACAGATGAAAAATTAATTAATCCCCCTCGTTTACGTTAATCTTGCTTACCATTGTACCTGTTCAATCCCGTTCAATCCACACCAAACCACACCTACATAAACTCGTGCTTAAGGCCTGTTATTGTCCACTTTCATTATCTAAGCCTAAGGCCTGTGGCCATAGGCTGATYCTGGGCTGAACAAAATTAGCCCCAAACCAACGGCAGCAAACCAATAGGGCGGGACAAGACGTCTGTCAATCATTCTGTATTAATTATCATTATTTAACCAGGCAAGTCCCGTTGAGATCTCAAATCTCTTTTTCAATGGAGGCCTGGGCCTGAAGGCAACCTGTTGTACATGTTTTTAGGGGTGGGGGAAACTGGAGTACCCAGAGAAAACACGCAAGCACGAGGAGAACATGCAAACTCCACACAGAAAGACCTGAGATCCGAACCAGGGATTGAACCCAGGACCTTCTTGCTGTGAGGCGTTGGTGCTAACCACTGAGCCGTCGTGTTGCCGTATCACAAATGACTTTGAATAAACGGGGGTGTGAAAAGTTAACCCTTTGGAAAGACTTTCTCCAGACTGTTATTAGTATTTTAAGACTTTTATTGTAAACACCAGGGAGGTATTAGTCCACTTATGCCAGCGATCCCTGATCATGATTAATATGCGTATATATAGTATGGCAGCCTCACTTCTGTCAGTGTGCCCCAGGGCAGCTGTGACTACAATTGAAGTTTGCAATCATCAGTGTGTAAATGGGTGAATGTCTGTAAGTGTAAAGCGCTTTGAGTGTCCTGGATGGATAGAAAGGCGCTATACAGTATAAGTACAGTCCATTTGCATTTATATATATATATATATACAGTATATTAGGAGTTAGTATTAGTGCAGATACTTAGATCACAGTTTTAAGATGGTTAACCTAAGACCCTGGAAACAATGTCCTTAAAGCTCCTTGAAGAATATTAACCTTCAATCAACCAAACACCTTTGTTGCCAAACTGAGCCAATAGGGTCAAAGTATGTAAAACTGTGTTTCTGCCACCATTTTCCCTTGTTGCTGAAGTCTCAGCTGCTCTCGCTGTGCATCCGAACATCCCTTTTCAAGCCACATTCATGGCATTTTGTGGGGAAGGGCAGTTTTGGACCTGATCCCATCCCTGTTCCACTTGTAGAAAAAAAAAGTGTCAATAGAGATTACCTGCAGTGTGACACATGTGAAACACCTTTAACAGTAATGAGCCTTTCCAGAAGAAAGCACACAGCAGACCGCACTTTTTGAGCCCTTTAAATTGCCATTATTTCCATGGTTACTGCAGGTCATGCTCCAGCTATTTGAAATCAGGCTTGTGCAGGACTTTCTAGAGGCTTCTCTCCAGTACCCAGCAGATTACCTCAAAGAGGCAATTGCCATGTAAATGCCAGGGTGGTGCAAGTGACAATCTTAGTCAGAAATGGCTCTTCACAGCAGATTTGATTTGACTTTGATTAGTGTAATCAGGGTGCCATAAGGACTGATGGCACAGTGTTCCTGAGATAATAGGAGAGGCATTTACACTTGAAATTAGCGCAGTGAAAACACTGCTCCAAAAGGACAAATCCAAGCTAAACTTTTGTTTCTTTGGCATTTTTTCTTTCTCCTCTGCTTGACTGAAGGGAAAGAGGAATAAGCCGGGAGTGGAAACAGCAGACACTCCAGACTCTGCACGTGGGCGAGGGGAGAAGAAAGCCATCAAGTAAGTGTCTGTTAACTAGTTGGGGTAGAACAGCCTGGTGATAATGAGCTCCATTTGGTTCGGCTTTGAGTCCCTCGATATGTACACCAGCACAAACAACACAAAAAACGAGTCCCTATTGTTTTCTCCTGAAGTGCTCAATTTCTACAAGAGCCTGTTTGGAGAGCCAAAGTAAATAAGAGGTTAGCGCTGTAATCAGTCTAGACTTAATTTGCATTAAAGCTTTTGTCCTGATCTTATGGGTTGTTTATTTATTTTTTTTATTGTAAGTGCCACGCCTCTGCAGTGCTCAAGATGCTTCAGGTAGAAGCAACAAGACGGGGATGCTTAAAAATGTACTGTTTGTGATGGTTTTAATCTCACGTTTCCCACAGGACTCAAATTCAGATTAAAACATTTTATCTTCTTGGTAAAATAATGCAGTAGGTCAGTATTAAGAATGTGTTTCTCTTTTCTTTACTCCTGTATTCAATTGAACGCCTCCTTTAACCTTCTCATTATTGTTTCTCTTTTATAGCCTGGTTTTGCTATTTTTCAGTGTGCACTCGTTACTTTTTTTTTCTTTGGTACGAATAGATTTAAGCTCTAAAACTGGCTTCAGTTCGTAAATTTACCCCGACTTGATTTCTCCAGTCTCCTAATTTTTTTGCATTTTCTTTCTCACTGGCTCCAGCAGCATCGATGTGCTCTGTTGGTCATTTCAGCTTCCAACTCGTTGTTACATTACCTTTCTCTCCTGCTCTGTCCCCATGCTTACAGCTCTGACCACTGCTGTGTGACTTGTATGACATTAGTGATTCTGCTCACCCGTTTTTTCCTCCTTCAACTACAACTGCCTGCATGTTATTTCTCTGCCTTGTGTCTCGTGTTCGTGCTTCCTCACTTCTCACGCCAAGGATGGGGGGCACACTTCATGTTACCTGTCTTTCACGGGTTGGTGAACAGAATGTAATCACCTGATGTGTAAATGAATATTGATTGTGAATAATTTCTTGCAGTCTTTCCTATTTTTCTATTTCGCTGTGTCTTTACAACCATGTGCAAATGTTTTCTGAAAACTCTTTTTACCAGGCTCGCCGCCGCCTTTTATATTTTCGAATCAAACCACTCCAGGGACTTGTCTGCTTCAGGTGGTGAAACAAACTCAAAACTGGGTCTGCTGTGTTTCACCTTTGATGCAGCTGAGAAGCGCCTTCGTCCTCAATTTGAGTGCAGCCCTATCACCATGAGGAGGATCACTTTTTTTTGCCAAGTCTGTCCAAAGTTGTGTTGCTCTGACTTGTCTCTCTCTTTGGCCGCAGTGATCTAGACAGAGACTTTTGGAATAACAATGACAGCAGCACAGTGCAGCAGAGGTGGAGCTCCTATCCGCCCAAGGAGTTTGTACTAAACATTTCTCCCTATGCCCCATATGGAGATCCTCGCCTCACGCTCAAGTGAGTCTTGGTCAAAGTCTGGTAAGAGACTTCCCTCCCAGCAGGGCTGTAATGAGGCAGGGGCAGTGCTGCTTTTTCTCTCCCCATTTTCCCTTTCCCTAACCTTTTCCATTTCCTGCCAATAGCCACTCATCAAACTAAACAATTAGTTATGGATTCTGGTTATTTAACTTATTTTGATATGTTTCCAGGCTGTTAAAACAGAATCTAATGGTGAGTAAATGAATATATTCGGGCTGAATCTCATTTCCTTGTGTTAGCTCCACCCCTATCTCTTGGCTCTTTATTGGAAGTCATGTTCCTTCAGGAAATCATATCTTTATATAAAAARKTGCAAAATCAACATATTAGGTGGAGTAAATTGTGTATCTTGGAGTCTTGTTCATGAATGATGGTGGGATAGCAGTAGATGAACCCACTGATCAGGGCTTCATCTGCAGGAATGGCTGTGGTCTTGGTGAAGAAAAAGCTGAGCCAAAAGGCAAATCTCTTCATTTAATGGTCTGATTATGCTCCAACCCTCACTTGTACTCATTTGAAATGAATTGTGAACAACAAAATCACAAATAAATAAATAAATAAATAAATAAAAATTAAAAAAAGAGCTCCCCCATACAAGTGAATGAGATGAGTTAGCTTTTGTAGCGTAGCTTTAAAGATAGGGTAAGGAGATTAGATTAGAGCTGCTGTTCTTGAGCTGAGGTTGCTCAGGACTCTGGTTAGAAAGCCTCCCGGCTGCCTCTCCTTGAAGGTATTTTGAGCATGTCTACCTGGAAATAGATCTTGATAGACTCAGAACCTCCTGGAGGGACTCATTTTTGGGATTGTTAAGGCCCCAACATACTCCMTCCGACGCTTCAAAGTCGACTTTCATTAAGTGACGAAAATTGTCCCACCCCTTCTCCAACACCTTGGCCAAACCTTTTCTCACAGGGCTCCGCGCGAAGTGTTGTGTGATTGAGGGATTTGTGGGCGTGYTTGTTAATGTGGAAGTGCGCTTGAACAGCAATGTTGTCATTTCGCTTCAACTACTCTGCTTCCATAATCCGGCTATGTACAGGCGAGCAGGATGGATAGTTTTAAGAGCAGTTGGCAGAGGCAGTGAAAGTACATTCTTTTGTACGATTCTTCAAAAAATAAATTTAAAGATAGTGAAATAAGTGAACTCTTGGATGGGGATCGTGAAATAAGTGAACTCTTGGATGGGGATCGCACAATCATTGTCCACGTAGGAGTCGTTCTGCCTGAAAAATTTGGCGTTCTTGCGTCGATCGATTTGGAATGGACAAATGGAAGATGCAGGGACAGAGTGGGGTCCTTGGCGGGAAGAAACTTGTCCCCTCGCTGTACACATGATGTATACTGCAGCTGGAGGGGATTTACCATGTGGTCTGCACAGTGCTTCTTGCTGACTGTGAAATGTGTGTATGAAAACGAACATCCCTCAACTATAATACCACACATAAACTGTTTGGCTTCAGAGTATGTTGGGGTCATTAGGGGGAAAAGGATGTCTGGGCTTCTCTTTTTAAACCATGACTCTTCTGGTTGGGCTAAGGGGTAGGGGAAAGGGGGAAATGGGATTTGCCTGTTTAGCCTCTTGTGTTTGTTTGAGTACCCATTATACACAGTAACTGTCATAGTGTTGAAGTATAAAAGCTACATTATCAAAAGCAGCAACAGTAACAACCCAACCAATATTGGCACACACTGGAGGGCACAAATGATTGCTAAAGATTACTCAGAATTTGTTTGGGAAATGTTAGCCTAAGAAAAACCAAACACACACAAAAGCACCATGTAAAATTCCTTTAGGCCTGTAGCACATTAACAAAACGGCCCCCTTAAGCATACTTCTGCTGCGTCCCCTCATACCCTGTTGGCTTGTAATGAAACATGTTCAGGACGCCCCCTCACTCCCTACAGCCCTGCTGCCCCACACTARCTCCTGACCTCTAACCTTGCACCTCTTTCCCATGGTGGGACCATGGAGACGGGCAACCCTCAAAAGTTCTCCTCTCCAATGCTGATCTGCATACTTTAACCAACCTTCTCTACATCCTGTGCATCTGCTTGTTCTTTTTGCTTGTGTCACTTTTCTCTGCCGGTTGTTCCGTGGCTTTTGTTGTGGAGGGTTGACCGTTAGCACCAGGTTGCAGTGTTGGTGCCAGTATTCACCTGTTTCTAACATCCATCTGTGGCTCCTCTTCTTCAATTTTCTCCATCAGTAAAACAATCTAATGTGTGCTGCACTAACATTTAATCACTTGAACTGCATCTACTCTCTATCATTTGGGGAGACAAGATAACAGTGTATTTTTTTTCTTACTGCAATAAAAGTTTTTTTTTCACTCACCTACCACTTGAATCCAATAAAGCAAGGTCACAACTACCTTCCTCTGGGCACTGAGAGGACTCTAAGCTTAGACTTCCTGCTACCAGGCATGTTACTGATAAAATGTCTAATAACTGGTCATTTTTACTAGACCCAGGTGATCAGGAGTGTAGAAAACGAAAACAGCAGAGTGCCAGTGGCTGACAAATTGTCCTCGATTATAGCCAGCCTAAAACCTTTAATATATATATTTTTTTATCCTGAGTTGTTTGCTCTTTAAAAAGCCTTCAAGATTGTCATTTCTTTTGCAAAAATATGCTTGTCAGCAGCTCCGGCTTTCACGCCAAAAACAAMAAAGATGAGTTTCTCACAAAACAAATGGCAGAAATGATTCAATTTATCACTTGTGTGTGTGTGTGTGGGCACATTCGGTTAAAACAACACTACATTCAGAAGGCATTTCTCATGAGGAGAGGCTGCTGGGACGACCTGTCGTCTTCAACCAATAAGATGTTGCCATTAGCCAAGAAATCGTTTCCTTTTTGAGATTCTCTTGAGGATYGGCAGCTTTTAGGTCCCTGTGATGACACCAGGCCTCATTTAGTCAATGTCCAGGTTAAAGAAACTTCTGCTTTTTGAAGCTCATTTGAAAACTATTCAACAGGAAACCACATAGTCCTMGAAAATGGTTTGGATCAGTCAATAAACATGAGACAGTTTTTAATTTTATGTGGTTGAAATATTTAAAATGTGACTGTTTTTGATTCTCTTCTACATAAGCTGTTTATCCTGATATCCTAATAATTACCGTAGTGGTGTCCCGATACAGATACCAACATTTCTAAAAGCACTCAAACTCATTCAAAATGCCCAATACATTTTTTTTTTCAAATTTGCGTGGATGTTCACATTATACATGTGGCCTCCATAAGACTTCAGTGTGAATTTTTTATGCTGCTGATGTGACCCACAAATGCAGATGATGATGTGATGTCACATTCAGTACTCTTTTTACAGAGTAAACTGGTCTCTATGTGGATKCTACATGTTAGCATGTCACTTCTGACGTTGTTCAATCAGAGCTGGTTAAATAMTTATCTGACATGATTGTTTAAATCRTTGTTWAYATTTTAACCGTCCTCTGGTTGGCTGGTCCGAYGCAGCATGTTTTTATGGAACGAAGCAACTATTATGTTTCTGTGGTTCTCAGTCATCCAGGACATGGAACATTGACATAAAATAAAAGGAAAAAAAGACAAAACAACTGGACTTCAGTTATGTAGCTGAAGACATTATGAGTTATGAGTTACAAAATGTAAACTGCACGACTCCAGGTTAGTATTATTTTTAATATTTGCATGGATCTGTATACCTCCCACTGATATAAATATCAGCTGAAATGTGACGTAAGCATTCAGACTGCAGTTGCTTTCAAGTACATCAGATATTTGTCCAATTTAGTAGGTCCTACATTAAAAAATCGGCTTTTATAATCATGTAATGTTTAATTTCTAACTCAGTAAATACTTGATATCAGTTCTTGATATCGGCAATTACTCAAACTGAAGTATTCGTGTTCAGTTTGAGACAAACTGGTATCGGGACACCTCTGCTAATCATCTAAACATTTCTTAAATGTTTCTACTTAAAAAAAAAAGAACTATATTCACCTTGTGCCTGGCTTGTAACTGAGGCTCGTGTGTCCTGCAGGATTGATGACATATCTACATGCAGCGTCGTGTCAATTGGTCAAAGTTAAATGTGAAAGGTGACCCTGGTGTGAGTTTAGCGCCTCCTGATCGTCCTTCCCAGAATGCAAAGTCTGAGGGAGCTTCGTGTTTTCTGTCTCCAGCAGCGGGGTGGGGGGTGGAAGGGGGGAGCCATGCATATTAATGAGATGTAGTCATGTCACCAGAGGGCACTAATGTTCTTTTAATTTTGATCATCGCCGCACCCGTTTTTTTTAAGATTAAATTTGAGTTGACAACTGCTCCTTTTTTTTAAACGGGAGCACTGATTAATTTCAGTACCTTGTGCCTGTYCTAGAAAGAAAAGCTGTGTGATTAGATTGCCTGCGTGATACTTTTTCTGCTTGTGCTGTGATACATTTGTCTTCTTGAAGGCTGTTATGGACTCTAAGTGGTGCCGAAATGACATGAAAATACCTCAAAAGTGACGTTTTGCAGAGTAAGTCGCAAAACGTAAATTGCGATAGGTGTTCCAAAAAGGCACGTGCACATTTTGTCAGCCRACTTCTTTTAACGATGGCATAAGAAAAGCACTCCTGTTGCTTTAAGCTGCAGCAACTTTTTGTCTTGTCGTTTGGAGAAGACCGTCTTAAAGTGTAGGAAATGATTAGGAGAAGAGTTTTCTTGACTAAGGTCTGCTCCAGAATTAAGTCCTCCAGGCCCAAAGAAGTACCTTCTTGCTGGTTTTCCACCCTCCACAGGCTCCTTTTCCCCCTTCCTACCGCCTCGCCTCACCTTCCCTCACCTCCCCCCTCCCCACACACCTCTTCTTTCTCCCCTCTGGACTCCAGACCACTTTCATCCTCCTGCCTCTCATTTGGCCTGGAAATCTAGGCCTGCCCCTTCACACAGTCCACCGATCGGCTTCACCTCTTTAACCGTGTGGTTGCTCAATCTGTTTTCCTGTGTGAGTGTGTTTGGGTGTGTTGTTCTCACACTCTCTGGTTTGTTTTTCTCCCTCCTCTGTACCCTGCTGTCTGCTTTGGGGATGTCTTTCCCCTTCAGTGGGGCAGTGTCAGTGGGGCAGAAGGGGGCCGCAACCGGGCAGGGGGATGCTGGGGGGGTTCCTTATCGCAGTGACAGCGTGAAGAGCATGGTGGCGGAGGGAGTGAAGGTCGGGAGGTGGCAGAGCGTCCATGGCAACATGCCGTCCGGAGCGCCGAGACCAACCAAGTGAGTTAATCAGACACAGTTTTTTTTATTCAAAACAAACACCTTGCTCTCACACAAAATGCTATCACCTGCTGACACAAACATCATCATCAAGTTATTGCATTGTGCTAGGTTATTAGTCCGTCTGTTAGCGAAATATCTTATGAAGAAGGTGGCATACTCGCATGAAACTTTCAGAAAGTCTACAACTGATTATCTTCTGTAAGTACGTGACAAACCTCACCACTCAGCCGACCTGAGTGTTCTGCAGATGTGTGTATCCCAGTGAAGTGTTTTCAGACTCCCTTCCAGTTATTGCGTACAGGGGTGTTTTTAGTGTGACGTAGCAAAGGATTTTATCTTTCATCATGTTTTTGATCAAATGTATTCTGCAAATTCTTCTTGCAGTTTATCTGTGATGAAAATGTTGCTCAGTTTCAGCGAGCTTAAAAACACGTTCACCTTTACAACATTCAAATAGTAGGTAGCATCTAAATTTAATATTTGATCTAAATACTGGCTGACCTTCATGACAAACTGATCAGACAAACGTGGATTTTTAAGATCCCAAATGTGATGATTCTATGGAGATCCTAGATCCTTAATTATAGGATAATAATAATATAATATATAAATAATAAATAAGATAAGATAAGATGATACTATTGATCCCACAGTGGTGGAATTTACACAAAACTGTMGCTCAATATAAGTGGGTGGGATAAAATAAAGAAGAAAGATAAACAAGAAATGAAAAAACACTATACACATATTATATATAACAATACACATATGTATGTATGTATGAATGTACACACACATCAGCCAACACTAGCTATCTGACCATTATTTATTGTATTTTTTATTTAGTTTTACTGTTAGTTCCTATTTCGATTGCATGATGTTTTAGATCATACAGTTTGTTATTAACTAAATAATTAATTAATAATAAAAACATAAGGGTAGCTAATGTTAAAAGCATGTTATTTTACCTTTATCTAAAGAATTAGAGAAGTCATACCCATTTTTTGTTGTTTGAAAACCCAGACAAATTGTAATGGTTCTGCAACAATGTTAAACCAGTGGAAAAAATTGGAGCAATTTTTTGATACTAAAATGGCAAAAATTTCATTATTTCATAATCAATCCAACCAATCTTGATATCAAATCTCTTAGTCAAGCTTTATTAGTTGCACTTGTACAAAGAACCAATCATGGATTTTTATTTTTTTTCATCTCATACCTACCACCTGAAGGTTCTTAGATGGCTGCCCTGCATAATAAAACACAGTAAACACAAAAATATAACACTGAGTTTTGCAGCTATGGAGCTAAAATTTGAACACAACTTGGAGTCAACGCTGTCTGTTAGTAAAATATTTTATAAATCACTGGATGGATTTTATTGAGACCTTCAGGAAATAATTGTATTTACATCTACCAGTGATTACCCTTTAAAGTCTGACCCTATCAAGATGGTGATCTCGGTTAATTGTCCCTGCAAACACAAAAAGTGTCACATTTCATTCGGATTTGCCTATGTTGATTTAAAATTTGGCATGGTAGTTGCTTGCACAAGATCTCTGTTCAAAACGTTCAAATTCCAAGCAGCGGTCTCTAAATATATATCCCTTCAAGCATTGCTTCATTCTTGCAGGTTTTTCTTTTAGCAGCATCTACGGTCACAAGAATTACGAGGGTGAAACATGGAGAGAATCAAGTCGAGCTAAATAAGAACGGAGGGAGTTTCAGTTTAGGTGAGAAGGTGAGCGATCAAGGTGTTAGCACCGGGGAAATGTAAGCTGTCATCAGCAGCAGAACTGAACTCCAGCTGCAGGATCGCACTGACTTAAAGCCGTCAGCTGACACARTCGGCCCAGTTCCACGGACCAGCTTCCTGTGCGACTCTCCAGGAGGGTATGATTTATTCACTTGAGAAATTCAGCTGCCCGCAAGCTTCATTTAAAACAAAAGCTAAAAAAAGGAACTCAGAAGTAGCCTCATTTCTTTCCGCCGACTAAAATAAAACCTCACATCCTTTCCAGTTCACTTTTTTAATTAATACTTACGTATTTTTGGACACTATCTGCTTAAAGTCATGATGTGTGACGTGGAGCTAYAATCAGATGCAGTTTTTTTTCCACCTTTCATTGACACTTCATGCCTGTGACTTCTTCCTCCTCAACACTAACGTTGTTCTTCACTCCCTCCTTTTCTCCTCCTCTCATATGTTTTTTTGCCCCCTGTCTGTAATTGGATTCTATTTTCGGGCTGCTATAAGTGTCTGTGTCTCTTGTGTTTGTGTCTCGCACCCCCGTTTTCTGTCTCTCCTCCATCGTCACCCTCTGCTCCGATTGTTTCCATCACTCCATCTCTCTGCTGCCCCTTACTACAAGCCTCTTTACTTTTTTTCTTTTGCTGTTCCGCCATTCTTTTATGTGGAACTAGTAAAATACAGTATGATGGATATCACACTAAAAGCCTCATGCAAAACTGTGTTAGATGAAGTGAAGTAAACTGCACCTAACTGGTGGAAATAGCTCTCCCATGACCTATTTCTTGTACTCTAGGTTACACAGCGATCCAAGAGAGGAGGATATATTTAGTGTGCAGAGAAAAATAGTTTAAAAAAGAGATTACAAGAGGTATGCATGTGTAAGCATCCAAAGAAACGTTAATTGCATCTATGGAGCTGTCACACGCTTATGTGCCATTTTAGGAAAAGCAATTAGCCAGCTGAGCAACATTTTTGAAAGAGAGGAGTGGAAATTGAGTGATTGACAGAGGGAGGGAGTCATGCTGTAGAAGTTGGTTGGCTGTGGGATCTCTCAGGAGGTTCAGCTTGTATTTAAGAGGCAAAAAAAAATTAAAAAACTTAGAGAGAACAGAGCAGAGACTGTCAGAGATGGACATGTTGACTGGCGTGTAGAGGAAATGGGGATCTCTCGTCACACCAAAAAACCTTCACCGGGGMGGCCCGGGGGCTGCAAAACGACGGCGCGCACGCCTCGAGGAGGCCGCGCGGCACTGAACCGCTCCACGCCCGTCCGGACGGTGAACATCCGCCCACTGCCCGCATTCAAAAAACACACTCCGATCGCACCGCCACGCAACCTGCACTCACGTCTGATGCACAAGAGCGGCGCCCAGAGCGCAGCCTGCAGCTCGCCGCAGCCCCACGAGCAGCACGTGGCGCACAGCGACCACCACTCCGGCTGCACCTTCTACTGCTATTTCTGCTACTGCTGTTACAGCTGTTGCCTCACCTTCATTTCTTTTTGTCTCCTCCTCCTCCTATCTCCACCTCCCAATGCGCCATCCTCCACTCTGACCTCCAACACCACCGCTTCCTCCTCTCCCGCCTCACAACCTTCAACTTCCTGTTGGGATAAACTCTCCTGTTTCTACGCCGACGTCAACCTGACTGCTTCGCCCCTCTGCTCTGCGTCTCCTTATTTGATCACTGATGTCTTCACCACCTCACCCCCTGACCAAACCTCCTCATCCTCCCCACCCGACTCCCCTCCCCACAATTCCATCCTCTGCCGGCCCTGGCCTTCCACACGCTCGCTTTCCTCCCTGCTCCTCTGCCCGCCCAGCTTCGGGGACCCGGCGTTGTCCTACGCCTCCGTTCTGGAGCACATCCCCTCCGGACCGGGCCGGCCTCGGACGCTGCTGCGCCAGCAGAGCCTCCAGCAGCCTCTCGTCCACCCATCGGGCGYGGTTCACGGCCACCATCCGCCCACCACGTCCCAGAGTCTGGGGCAGCTGCACACTGCGCCCGGACAGCCCGGGGCGGGTGCCCGGAGAGGAGAGGGGGGAGGAGGAGGCAGTGGYGACGGTGGGGGTGCGGGTACGAGAGGCGGGGCCCGAGGTGCCCGGGGCGGCCAAGCAGGGGCAGCTTCCTCTCGCTACAGGGGAGGTGGAGCAGGAGGGCGCTCTCGGGCCAACCCTGGCAGCTGGGATTACATGATGGACCAGATCAAGAACCGAGGCCTGGATGTCAAATCCTTCCTGTAAGTCTCAACATGTCTTTATTTATATCTGTCCTCATGTGTACTCTATGTAGTGTAGAGATATTTTATGTAAAACATAGTTTTTATGTGTAAAACTTTAAGAACGTAACTGTGTTTAATGACAATATATAAATTAACGTACATTTTAATGTATTCCAACCGTTTCTTTTCCTTCAGGTGTTTTTTTTAATATATAAATTTGCATCTGATATCCAGGGAAGGATATTATCTGTTTAMCTGCTAAAATAGGTGTGTTTGGGCTCATACAGGTGTGTTGTTGTGAATGATGGTATGCATGGAACTGAGTTAGTTATGAACTTCATTATGACTGATAAATCTTACAAAAAGTGTAGCATGTAACATGTAATTTATACAGTTACAAAGGCAAGTGAGTTCATATTATAACTGATTATGATAAGTTAGGATAATGAGGTTTAAAACAAATGAGGAGGCAATAAATGAGTTTATGCAAAACAAAGCTATTAAAAATAACATGCATTGATTTATAAATGTAAATAAGCTGGTCTCTTTTAGCTGTTGCATTGATGATAGTTTTGTCTTTAGAAAAACACCCCATTGGATAGTGAAATTACAGGTCACTTAGGTTTATTAGATTTAATTTGAAAGGTTTGGCTTCCCTACCTAAATGAACCCTTTAATTCCTCTTAAGCAATAATTGCTGTCATTTCTTAATAAGAATACACGGCGCCGTGTCCTTAATGAGCCGTAATAAAGCACTGAGCATTTTTTATTGAGCAATCTGTAAAAAAACAAATAAATAAATAAAAAATAAAACAACGGGGAGAAGAAGCAATAAATTCTATTTTTAGAAGTGGACGTGCGTGAGAAATGGTGAGGAGGTGCGACACATTGTGGGGTCTGCTTCTGTCCCGTTCTGTTGGAGGATTGTTAAACGGTGACGCTGCACGCTCTGTTAAACAGTAACATCTGTTTCGATGGCGTTCGGGCCTGTCTGCTGCAGTTGTCGCTACMGAACAGAACTAATGGTGCTCTGTCRYATCCTGAGGTGGTGTTTTTTATTTACTTATTTATTTATTTCACAGCTAAATTTCCCGCTTAGGAGAAGCATTTCTATTTTTGTTCCGTGAGCRTTTGCAACTAAAATTGCCTCCTTTTTTTTTGCTTTATTGTAACTTTTACACAAAGAAAGCCTTGTGCGCACACAGYCTGCCGTGTCACAGTGCATCATTGTGAGAACAATATCGAAGCAGCTGTGTGGCGTTTCGTGTTTACCCTGATGCATTGATCTKGTGCCACCATGCAGCTCCATTACTTCTGCAACATATCGTTACGCGGAGCTCTGAGGAGGCGGGGAGGGAGGGCAGAGGGTTGGTGAGGGGGACAGATGATCAAGGACACTGTCAAGGTGCAGCATGTGCTCTGTGTGCACTGAATCAGTTTTACAGTAGTGATTCAATGCTCATTTCACTTCTTTTTTTTGTTAATACGCCGTGGAGCTTCTCTGGGCATCACAGCTGAACTAACGCCGCCAGCTAACCCCCGCATCAGCGACGCAGCACACCATGCAAAGCACCAAGGTCACGACAATATGCCCCACGATTGTCGGCCATAACGCTCATCGTTTTAAATGTGAATTTGAGGTCATTGTTGGTATATTTCCTTCTCTGCAACATCAAMACCTTGAATGATGGATGACAGAAACGGGGCCGGTAATAGACATGACCCATTGCTCAAGACACTTAATTTCAATCTTGGCCACGTTCCCTGTTTGAGGGTTGAATTATTGCGTAATGAAAGTGTTGGTGCCATTGATGCAGATCTCTTGCCTTTGGAGAACTTTGTCTAAATGGATTACTTCGGAGATTGGTCTTCGTTCCTTTTTTTTCCCATTCTTTTTTAGGTCAAAATCAATAATTTATCCCGGCTTCATTGGTGTCTCGTCCCCTCACTCGCCTGTGCTTCTTTAATTTTAGGTGCACAGAGTGAAGTGCTTGAACAAGAGTCCTCTGTGTAAATGCCCGTACTTAAAAGGTAATGGAAGAAAAGTGCGATCCAATAACAGTTATACTTACAGTGTCAATGTATGCACAGTATCATATTGCTTAAAGGCAGGGACTCTTAACGAGTGATAACTCTTCACAGTCAGATACAGTTACGACCACTGATACAGCTTTTGCTATCTTTATGCATATACTGTGTATATATATATCAAAACATTTTCTGGTGCCAATTACACCACGTAGATGAGCCTAGAGTCATGAAATCATGTAAGCTTTAAAAACGATTGGCAATAGCATATTTAGTCTGAACTGTTGCGAAAACATGAAAGCAGTGGTCATGGATGAAAAACAGACGTTGATAGACGAGCTTCTTCATTAAWTGGCTCATTAATAAAGTTTGTTTTGTTTAACGAGCCACAGCTGGGATCAGTTTGGGACCCAGTGGATGAGAAGTTGATGTAGATGTAAGAGCTCAGAGGACAGACTTATATTTTAAATTTCAAGGTTTGAAGTGGAAAAGGAGCAAATCGAACCTTTTTACTATAAAATCCCACATTTTGATACTTACCTGTAACTGAAAATCATAGATAAAATTGCCGTAGAGCAGAAGTGTCAAATTCATTTTCACGGAGTGCCTCATGAGTAGTTGTAACATCAATCTTTCATGTTTAACTTTAAGCAAACACGAAACATCGCGTTCCTCATCTCAATGATATGGCTGYGCACCACTAACTATTGAGCTCTACATGGTATTTCCTGCAGAAAAACAGCATTTTAACATGTCCTCTGTGCGTACGACCGACTAAATGTGAAAGTCCAAATAAGAGAGTGGTGAGCAGCTTGAATTCATGCTTGGTCTTTAATTTTAAACTCTCCCACTCTCTGATGGAAGGGATGTTCTAACATAAATTTACAACTTGTAAGTGGGACATTCCACTTACCCAAAAATATCCGGTAAAAAATGCAGCAAAGCTGAGCTTTTACACGCTGAACCATCATCAGCTGCCAACTATTTTTGAACCCCGTGCACCAACATCTAGTGGTGGAATGTTGTCATTTTGCAGGTAAAATAAACAATGTTGTCTGGGAGATGTAGTTTATAGTCAATACTGCCTTTAAAACAGCATATGCTCATTTTAAAACATTAATACATCTTTTAAAACTTTCACGGGCCACATTTGGCCCACAAGCTTTGAGTTTGACACAACAGAGCTTTAGTTATTGATCATTGGAGGACAACTTTATTGGATTATTCCATAAGTAATAATACTGCCCTTGTTGTTAGTCTTTGTGTGCTGCAGATGTTGAACAACCTGCCAGTTTTCTCTTATTCTGGTACAAATTGAGAAATTTTATCTACCTGAGTTCCCTGAGGTCTGGCTTCTTCTACATTGTTTCTTTTTTTCTGCGGTTTTGACTAAGTCTAATTTGGCCTTCCTCTTCACGTGGCTAATGATATGTCTCCCTCTTGAAGAAAGAGTTTTACTCAGCCGGATGCTGCAAAGAGGTTTTTCGTTCCCCCTGGAAACAACCTAGTGATTATCCACCGCTGCCGTGTTCAGCCAGTGTTCAGACAATTTTATATTGCTCTTGATTCAGCCATTCTGTTAAATCCTTTTTTTCTCAAGTTTTTTAATCATTAAAATAGAGTCTTTGCTTTTTTTTAAATTGGAAATTATAGGCGTGCTCCAACACCTTCCAAACAAAACACATCGGCTCCAAACCTTTCACCTGCTTAAAGCAATGAAGTAGAGGATAATCGCGTGCAGGCAAAGGCGATTTCTTCACTATTTCCTTTGCTTTCTAGAAGATAATAAAAAAAATTCAGCTTCCTTTTAATTTGTTTGTGAACACCCTCAAATTAAAGTTGAAAGCCTGCACTTTAGGCTGGCATCCATGAAAAAAAAAGAAGCTCAATTGCAAATCTGTGCTCAGATAAATGGTGAAAATTGGGAAAAACAGCATGCAGGACTTTGTGGAACGATTAGGCAATAAAATGATCTACTGAAGATAATTTGAGTTCTTTAAACACTTAATAAGTCAGATGAGACTTTTGTATGTGGAGCTAATGAGCTAAAATTACAGATAACAGATTGAAAAGGATCACAGCTGATGTGTTCAGTCAGTGGCTGTGAAGGCGTGTGAGAAATGGGGTGTAAAGAGTCCAAAAAGATTATTGAGAGTATCAATTGTAAAAATGACCTTATTTTTGACAAGCGGTGCCAGTGATTTGTATTAATCTGAAGGAGTGGGGAGGGCTCCGAAGCCACTGGTGTTGGTGTATAACAGGGAGATTATTGAACTAACTTTGAGGTGCTGCGAGAAAGCCTYTCTCTGCGTGAAAAGACGCATTTGTGAAGTTTACGGTAATATCTCCCCRCAGCTTGACAGCACCGTTTTTTTTTTCCTCAGCAGAGATATTTGTAACGCAGTCAGGGGCTTAAAGCCATAGAGCCGAGGGTGTGGGTGACAGAAGAAGGAGGGAGAGAGGCGGTGATGAGGAGGCAGAGAATTAAGAGTAGAGGTGGTGGTGGTGGAGGGAGTCAGGATGAGGCAAAGAAAGGAGGATTTGGAGGAGCAGCTGTGGCGGAATAGRGAAGAAGATGAAACGAGCAGAGCGAGAGAGCGGTGACCCAGAAAGCGACGACACACGCAACACACAGACAGATGCACGGTCCACCTCCAGATCCTCTCCTGCTCAAATAGAAACAATTAGTCCAGATCTTCCTAATGAGGCTTAATTAAATCGTAACTAAGACGCCTGGTGTGTTCAGGGGAAAAGGTGAACGTGGAGGGAAAGACGCAGGCAGGTAGAAAAAGTAAGACTGAGTGTGAACACTTTCTACATGAGTGGAGGATGCTGAATATCATCATCCATTAAGATTCATTAACTAATCACCTTGTTTGTAGGATGTGAATACAGACTGTAGCTGTTGGCAGCACATTTCATTAAAATTATTATCTCGACATCAATCCGGCCTTTGATTTTTATCTTTAATATCCTTCCCTGGACAGAGCGCTCACTGTTGAGGCGTTTTGTGTTGTTCTGCTCTTTTTTTTATTGACAAGTTTCTCTGTTGCTGCGTCTTCTTGTTTGATTTGGTCTCTTATTGTCCCACCGCCTTTCAACCTTCTGTCCTCACTGCCACCTAAAAAAAGACCTCTCCTTTTCCCTCTCCTTTCTCCTCCTGCACCGCACCTTCTTTGTGCTCGACTCCTCTATCCTCCGCATCTGGATTCTTCTCTCGTCTCCTTTTTTTCTACCTCTGTTTTCTACTCTGTCTATTGCATTTTGTTTTATTTTATTGTATTTTTTTTACGGGGAGCCAGCGAAGGCAAGCTGGTGGTCCTGGCTCTGGCCATTGGGGTGTCAGAGCAAGATGACTTTGCCAACATCCCTGACCTGCAGGAAACGGCGCAGGCAGCCCCACCGGCCAATCAAGAGCCCCCACCCGAGAAGAGGTACCGGATAATGTATGAGAGTGTGTGTGTGTGTGTGTGTGTGTGTGTGTGTGTGTGTGTATTAAAATTGGGATAGTGAAATAATGTTAAATATTGTTGCTGTCAGGCAGAAATCTCACATCTCTATTAACACAACTAAGAGAACACCAACTTATAACATTATTATTCAATAAACATTTACTTCAACTAAAAAAACGTAATTTTTCAATAAAGTCACATAATTTATGCAAATGCAAAGCATTCTGGGTAAATGATGGCACTTGTAAGGTAGGTAGGGGATACTGGGAATTTTGGTATCKATCAGTTGAAACATTATATTTGTTCAATAATTTAACTACAACAATATAAAACAATGAAATAAGAAAATAAGAGATTCTCAGTTATCTTCTACTRCACCCAATTTGTTTGTGAAAAATGTCACKATCGTRCAAAAATAACAAAAAAGCAACAATGTAACAAAATACAAAAATAACAATAACAACACAACACAAAATACCTTCCATTGCATGAAGGCAAGGAGGAAAGTTTTTGACTAATAACTGCGAATGGTGTCGAAACTCTGCTCTGCTGACTTTATTTTCCACCTCATCTGTGACAAATAGTCAGTAGTGCAAATAAAATGTGTAAACAAAAGTATTGTCATCACGCTAGTATTGATCCGATATTAATGCTCATCTTTGTATCAATACTATCAATATTTAGATTGATACCACACCCCCCCCATTACAACATGCCCGAGCTATGTATGAAAATATGGCAATAATGCTACATATATTAGTAATAATTATATAACCAATATATTGTGCAGATTAGTAATAATTATATAACCAATATATTGTGCAGAACATAATAACTAATGCAAAATAATACATCTGTTGTCACACATTATAGCTTTTAAGCCTTGATGTTTTGTGTTTTAGTTTGAACTGTAACAGTACTGTGTGTACAGTAATCATCATCCCCAAAATGCATTGTGTCAGTAATAAAATGACAACATGCTTAAGTGAAAAATACAATGAACAGACAATTTTTAAAGCAAATGCATGTTTTCATGTGTCACAAACAACTTTTAGTAGAACAGTGAAATAGCATATTAAGGTAAGTAATCTGAGGTCTCTTTAAACAAACTGTGAGGTCACAGTTCACAAACTGTTTTTGACACTTCTCATTGGTTAAACATCCATAAATCTAAAGACCGATGTGAAGGGTGACCAATAGAGTTCATTAATGCAAAAATACAAAAACAATAAAATAATGGAGATGTGAGGTTTTTGTCTAACTGCGACAATAGTTAGGAAAAATCAGGAATTGTTTTTTTTTCTTCGAATCCCAGTTGAGGAAATCAGCCGCACCTGAGTTATAAATAAGACCCTGCTACCGGATAAACTGCCCTCGTACACCGGTGAGATGAGTGAAAAAGATAAAATATTTAGCTGAAAAGAAGCAACAAGCTCATAAATCACAGTGCTGAGATGCTCACTGGTACTCCGGTCCTTTATTACGCTCTTAGTGGCACAATTTTAAACCAATCAAATAAAATTGTTTCTTATACCAGTGGTCTTTCTTTCTTTTTTTTCTTCAGGACCATGAGAATCATATCCCCTATCACAATGACATTTTTCTTCACTGCTTTCATTTTTTATGCCTTTTTTTTCTCCACTCCTGCCTGCCTCAGACCTCCCGCTGGTAATTGTCGTATTTCCTTTTTTTTTTTTTTTTTTGCCTTTTCATGCTTTTATCATCCCAGTCCTTTTTCTGCCGCTGCGTTCTCCTCTCCCTCGTGCTCATTAGCTCCCTTCAGTCGCTGCTCCGAGAGTCTCGTCTCTGCAGCTCCACGCAGGGCCCCAGAGAGCCTTCCTCATTATTCCACAACATGTTAGTCACTTACATAAACATGCAGCTAAAAATAGCCCCACTTTTTCCTTGTCAGCCAAGTTACACACTACGAGTCAAAAATATTTCCAGTCGTCTGCGAGGACGCACCAGCCTCGCTCGCATCTTCCTCGTCTATTAGAATAATTAGATTTTATGTTTCTGTTGAGGAGTTGGAGTTGTTTTTAATAAAAGCCTGCGAGGTGGGGTGTGTCCTCTGTAGCCATTTTTTTTGCCCCATTGCCATTCCGTTGTATTATTCGTAACGAGAAACAAACTCAGTCTCCTCCTGCAGTCCAGTTAAACACTTTTAACCTCACGCTGATTCTGTGACAAATGGGAGAGCATTTGGTGATGCATAATGACACACCTTAAAGGAAAATGTCAAAGTAGGGTGAACAAATCCTCGTCACACTGATTAATTCTCACAAGTGTCTCATTAATTTCAAATATGTTTCAAAACTGTGGCTCTATTAAAACGCACACGCTCTTTCGTATTTGCTCTGAACAGTGTGATGGTCCACATTTTCCTCCTTGAACAACTTTATTTATCATAAAACAAAATGCAACCTGACATCACGGTGGCAACAGTTACTTTTTCTTCACCTTCGTTCTGCTGAAGCTGGCCGAGATTAGCTAGACGTCCACAGCTGCCGAGACAAACAATCATTCTGTCTAATTTGCGACCTACACCGTTTCTGGCCTTTTCTGCTTTTACTTAAAAAACCCCTCTGTAAATGGGTTGTTAAATCTGCTGACAGACTCAAGAAGCAGCGAGGCACCAGCATGTGGCCCTCAGGATCCACAGTGATTAATGGTGTCTGAGTGCTTTGTGGTATTTTCAGGATTAACCTGCAGTTCAGTTCATTTCTTTTACCTGAAACAGAACGACGAGCAGCTTACAGTCGGTGCACAATAGAGAACTACACATGATGTTATTATAAAGGTTGGATCTCACTGGGATGTGATGTTGGAGACTACCAACGGCTTTTGCGCGGGGGTCTCTGTGTCTTGAAATGGTTGCAGGGGTTCTCAATGTCCTTGTGAAAGTTATAAGCTGTGTCCAAAATTGAGGGGCTGCATCCTTCAAAGGACACAGCCTACCCAGTCTGGGTGGGCCGGGTCCTTGGTCGGCCGCGAAGACGAGAAAATAGTGGCTGTAGGTTTGGACAGTCTAGTCTTCTGCTTTATTACCGCCATTACCCCAGTATTTCTCCTATCGCCTAAACATGACAATGCTAAACAGAAGCAAAAATAGTAATAAAAGYATAAAAAACATTAATGGTATATTTTAGGGAGTAAATTTGAACTGACATTTTTAATGTACAACCACAAGTTTCGATATTTCCTCGTATATTGCTAAAATATACCATCTCCCTCCCRTTGTAAGTCGCACATATGAGGCATATTTACCCTTTACTCACTGGAGTCAGAGGAGATTAAATAATTGTTTTCTTTTTCTTGTCAACCGTGGCGATGTAAAAAAAAGACTTGGACTTTAGTTGCATGTTCTGATAAACCCATGTTAATAATTTACCATAATTTGCTGAGGTCTGCGAGCGGATTGTTTTTTCAGCGACACACGGAACCGGAAACGTCCGCTGCTCATCCTCCGCAGCTCTGCAGCAAAACACGCCCACCCGTGTGTCTCCTCAAAAATTGTTTCACCACCAGAGGGCACTCTGCAAAGCCCGAAAAATCCTGAAGTCGGTCAGAAATTACTGCTAGCTCATAACATTTTAATACTTTTTAAGCTCAGAAAAATGGTGTTCGTATTATACATGAATAAATACGGTAGTCTTTTCAGAAACTCTTAAAACTTGCTTGTCAATTGTTTGCAAAAATATTACAACTTTCCTGCAATTTTGAGTCTCCAACTAGTCTCCAAGCCCAGTGAGACACCACCTTAAAGGAAACTTTTCACTGCCCCTCCTATCTACCCTATTAGGCATATTAATCAACTGTTCCATTATTTGTTTTATTACAAATGACAAATCTGAAAGTATAATGAGGGTTTTCCTGTAACTGGCTGCTAAAGTTGACGGTTTATTAGAAATGCAGGATATAAGCTTCCTGGGAAGATATTCCCTCGCTGCGTCAGAGCTGGTTTAACAGATGAAGCATTACTTAATCAAGCATCCTTCTAAACATATTGTTCATTCTAAACACGGGGAGAGAAAAAAAAACAAAGTTTCATTCATCTCTCGTCCTCATCGCCCTGTGGATCATCACACGTGCTTTTTTCCCCCATCATTCATCTGCACCCGCATCGCTCATCGTACACCTCATGAATTTATTAGCTTTTGTTTGAGCAACATGTCACTGGTGAAGCCAAACACAAAGCCTCTGAAGTTAACGTGATTAGTGAGAATAAAACGCTCAGGATCAAAGTGAGTTCTCTCTCTTCTGCGCCTGACGAACAGCAGAGCTCCTGCGTGCACGGCTGAGCTGCCCTACATTAACTAAACAGGCAGTAGTAACTAAAATCCCTCCAACATACTGTAGCTACATGTAACTTACTCTAGAGTTCATGCAACTCTGAATACAGAGCAAATAACAGTATAAATATTTAAGTTTGCCCCGATGGTTTCAATTATTTAAGGTGCGTCGTCCAGTAGAGAGAATTTTTCTTCAGTGAAACAAAAACGTGGACGAAAAAGGTTAAAGACAAAAAGTACAATGTAAACAAAGTAGGGAACAGAAAGATTAAATAAAGCACAACAAAATACAACAGATTCTAAATGTTTCTGTTTTCAGAACTGTGTTTATTTCTTCAGTCTGCRCTTCAGAGATGCAGTWTTTTTAAARTGACAGTTCAGATCTTTAGTAGTGGGGTTGAATGGTTGTAAACGATTATTATCTTACCTGTTGTAGATAGGGCGGTATTTGGAGAGTTTAATTCTGACCAGGTTGACCAGCTAACAACTAATCCACACAGAGGTAAGCTTAAAGTGGATTACTGCAATATTGTAACTTATTTGCATTACTTTTGTACAGTAGACCAATAAAATTCAAGTTCTTTGAGCATCTGTGAATTGCGAAAAATTTGGGATGTGGTCCAAACTCCCCACACCCACCAAAAAATTAAAAAATGATTTGGCCCTTCTGACAATCTTAAAAATGCTCTG